CAACCCAGGAGCTCACACGCTGCACAGGGAGCCTAGAACTGAGCCTCCAGCCAGTCCTATGTGCTATGTCCCCAGACTGCTGTTGGAGTAGCAGGGGATCTGAGTGCCCAGAAAGGGGGCCCAAGGGGTGCCTACCTGTGAGCAGAGCGGCCAGCACAAGGAATTTCATCTTGAGTGGACAAAGCACTGAAGTGAGCAATGGTGTCCCTTCTTATAGTCTGGGGCCCCTGTACCCCCCAAGATAAGGCTGTTTGCTTTGCTCTCAGCAGCTTTGCGTTGGCCTTGAGGCTGAAGGTGCTGCCGCCCGCAAGGGATTACTGGAAATAATGTCATGGATTTGCAGTCCATACTGTGTAACTAAAGGAATGCTTTCTGGAGTTTGCAGATCTTTGGCTCAACCATCTCCCCTGCCCTTTTGTACTTGGCTCAGCCTTGCTGTGGCAGAGAGCCATCCATCCTGATGGGCACCTGGGTGGAAAGGGGACACGGGAAGAAATGGTGGCTGCCGCCATGTCTCATCTAGTGAATAGCAGAGCAGGGCTCAAGTCTAGTCTAGCTGATCCTAAGGAATGCTTTTGATTCCTTCCTTCCTTCCTTCCTTCCTTCTTCCCATCTTTTCCTCCATCCTCCTGTCCCTCCATTTCTTCCTTCCTACTTTTCTTCCTTACTCTGTCCCTCCGCCCTTGTGGGGCTTGAACTCAGGGCCTGGGCACTGTTCTTCAGCTTCTTTTGCTCAAGGCTAGTGTTCTACCACTTGAGCCACAGTGCCACTTCTGGATCATTATGTTTACGTGGTACTGAGGAATCGAACCGGGGATAATGCATGATAGGCAAGCAATCTACCACTAAGCCACATTCCTAGCCCTGCTCTACCACTTTGAGCCACAGTTCAACTGCTAGTTTTCTGGTAGCTAATAGACAAGAGTCTCATAGACTTTCCTGACCAGGCTGGCTTTGAACCACAATCCTTAGATCTCAGTCTTTTGAGTAGTTAGGATGACAGGCGTGAGCCACTGCACGTGGCAAAGACTTCCATCTTGCAGAGATGGATCAGAGGCTTCATGGTACAGTGGCTGTCTCAACATCACACAGCAGAACCAAGGTGTTCATTAGCTTTGGTGATTATGACACCTCAGAACAGTTTGGGGACAGGGAGTGCTGAAGGTCCCACTGGAAATCGACTGGAAATCATCCACAAAGTCAGTCTGGACAAATTCTCAGGCAGAACAGCTGGTGGGGGAAGAGGAGGGCGCTGCTAGTGTTCTTTGCATTGGATGCCTGATATAGGCTCACACAGACATGGTCAAACCTGTGTGGTCCCTGCAGAAGGCTGGACCTGATGGGAGAGTGGGGAGGGAGTGCACCAAATCTCTGCATCCTTGGTGCTTTGAGTTTCTGCTAACATAAGGCTATGCACAGGTGTGCGTGGCCCGGCTCCTCTCAGCTCGGAAAAAACAGAATCTCCAATGGAAAGAACAGCTATCAATAGCTTCTCTACTCCTTCAGGTGATAGCGTATCCACACTTGAGCAAGGTCAAGTCAGCTGGGTCCCTACAGGATAGGTGGTCTACCTCCAGGAACTGCTCCAAAGCAGCTGCTTGCTGCCATTGGCCAAGTACGTCCACAGGCTTGAGATCGCCAGCTCTGACTGTTATGGGCAGTGTCTCCCAGCCTGACAACACATCTTCAGCTTTATTGCTGCCCATGTTTGTCACCCTGCCCCCTGCCCCAAAGTGATGGAAGCTGAGTGCTGGAGGCTCACACCTGTCTTCCTAGCTACTCAGGAGGCTGAGATCTGAGGATTATGGTTTGAAGCCAGCCTAGGAAGATAAATCTGACTCTTGTCTCCAACCACCAAAAAGCCACATGTGGTGCTGTGGCTCAAGTGGTAGAATGCTAGCCCTATGCAAAAGAGCCTACAGGGCAGTGTTTAAAGAGTTCAAACCCCAGGACTAGCCAAAACAGATAAACAACAGAACCTGAAACCTTAGATTTACTACAAGAAAACATGGAAAACTTGAAAGTTAGGCACAGGTAATTGTTTTCTGAATAGAATGCTATGTCTCAGAAAAAAAGCACAAATAATGGACAAAGTATCCCTGGGCACCAGTGTCTCAGGCTTGTAATCCTACTCAGGAGGCTGAGATCCGGAGGATAGATATTCATAGCCAGCCTGGGGGAAAAAAAATCTCTGTGAGACTTTACCTCCCAAATGCAGGCTGGTGTGTCTTAGGTGGAAATAGCCTAGCTAGCTCAGCTAGCAAGCCAAGCAAATACATGGCCCCAAGTTCCAACCTTGGTACGGGGGGGGGGGGGGGGGGGAATTTCTGCACACACACAAAAAGAACAAAACAATTACTAGAGCCAACAGAAAACCTGGGAAATGGGAGAAAAGTCTCACTACATAGCTAGGTGGACATCAAACTTGAGGTCCTCTAGCCTTAGACACCAGTTAGAATATAGGTGTGACCCCCCCCCCAGCCCCCACCAGCTTTTTTTTTTTGTCGGTCGTGGGGCTTGAACTCTGGGCCTGGGTGCTGTCCCTCAGCTCTTCAGCTCAAGGCGAGCACTCTACCACTTGAGCTACAGCGCCACTTCGGTTTTCTGGTGGTTTATTGGAAATAGGAGTCTCACGGTCTCTCCTGCCCGGGGTGGCTTTGAACCGTGATCCTCAGATCTCAGCCTCCTGAGTAGCTAGGATTACAGGCGTGAGCCACCAGCGCCAGGCTCTGCCAGCTCTTTTAGTCATTTTTAGAGGTATCCATTAGCTATGTAAGGCTTGTATCAAATACATCAATATGCCTCTCATCTACTAGTCTGTCATGTCTCTCCCCCCCCCCCCCCCCACAGGGGGAGATGCAGCACTGGGTATTGAACTCAGGACCTGGTGATTGCTAGGCAAGCCCGCTACCATTGGAGTCACTCCTCTAGACCCTCTTTCCAGTTGTTAATTTCAAGGTAGAGTTTTGCTTTATGCCTGAGCTGGCCTAGACTGCAATCCTCCTATTTGCACATCCCTGTGTCTCTCTGGATGACAGGCATGTGTCTGTCACTGCACCTAGCCAATGGTTGAGCTAGGGTCTCGAGAACTTTTTTTTCATTTTAATTTTCTGGACCATCCATGACCCCAAGAAGATGGAGGAGGTGATGGAGTTGTGCCACACCTCTACCAGGAAAATGAAGTGTGCCCCAGGTCACCTCGGCCAGGATAGATGAGACCCAAGACACTCACAGACTTAGCACCGTTTTCAAATAATTTATTAGGAATTTAAAACAAAATAAAACCTGGAAAAAGAAGTTACAGATGTAGAGAGAAGAGACACTGGAGGGGTGGGGATGGTATCTTGCTGGCTTTGAAACACCATGTAACATCTTTAAAAAAAAAAAAACAACAACAAACAAACAATTCAGAAGACAGACCCATGGTTTGGGCCCTTTGGATGAGAGGATCCAGGAATGGAAAGCTAAATCTCTTAGGACTCAGCTCAAATGTGTAGAAAACAAAAATAAAATAAAATAAAAATCAATAAAATGCAGCTTCTCTTTTATTAGGAAACATTAATTAAAAAAAAAACCCAAACACAAACAGCCGCGCATCGTTTTCAGTAACAAAGATTATTGCTTTGAGTTCTTGGGGCTGAGCACCTCACAATGAGCTCTCTCCAAAGGGCGCTTTGAAGGGGGATGGGGCTGAGGGAGGGGGAGAAAGAAGCTCAGGCCCGGGACACAGAAGGGGGCAATCATAGGTGGGCCTCAGCCAGGTGTGGCTTTGGCTTTCTACCTGGAGCCTCTCTGTCTTTTTCCTTTGGAGCCCGCTGTGGGGTAAGGAACTGCCAAGGGGCTCTGGCACAGGACAATTCTGGTGGGCTACTTCAGTGAGACAATGCGGAGGTTCCCTGAGAAGCCCGTTTCCCTTGGCATCTGCTCCATACCAAAATGCCCCCCACCCTCTACCCGAGGGAAGGGGGGGGTTCAGAGCAGAAATGGAGGAGGAGCAGGTCCAATCTAGGCAAGGGGGGGAGGATGAGGAGGGGGTGACGGGGAAGACCTTTGGAGAGTCAATTCCTTTCCAGGGGGTGGCTCTGGGTAAGCCCATCTCTTCCCTCATCCGGGGGTGGGGGTGGGGGGGAGACCCAAGACCTTGGGAGAGAGGACTGGCCAGAGCTGAGGCCTGTAAGCTTACAGTAACGGTGACTGAGGAGGGGGGCAGAAACAGGGGGACAGGGGGAGACTTTGCCCAACAGAATCAGGCAATGCCTTCCCCCCACCCCCCCAGGGGTCTTAAAGAGAGGGGTAGGCGCTTCACCTCACAGTATTTACATATGATACAGGACACAGGGCTGTTCCAGGGGCTCGGCCTGGCCTACCCACAGCCCTGCCCTCCCCTCCAGGGCTGGAGGGAGCCGGCCAGGGGTCCACACCCACAGAGACACTTGGTTCTCAGCCAGTGTGTGTGTGTGTGTGGGGGGGGGGTACCTGGCCCCTTGCCCCCTGCGGCCTGGGGCTTCACATTCACAAACCTAGAAATAGTTTTAAAAACGGTTTCTTTAAAAAAAAACAAAAAAAAAAAAAAACAAGAAAAACCAAAAACAAAAACAAAATAAAGAGCAAAGGAGGGGAAAAAAATATCAGAATTAAAAACCAGGGCTTGAGGCTGTGGCCTGTAGCAGGCTCCCTCCGCTCAGTCTACTATGCACAAATACAAAAGCCTGGGGACAAGGGGTGGGAACTGGGGGGGGGGGGGAGGTCCTAGACAGGAAAGAGAAGTTGGGGGGGGGTCATCCAGGGGTCTGGGACCAACCGGCTAATCCAAAATAAATAAAAGCAGGTAGGGAGAGGGGCAGGTAGGGGGCAGGGGGAAGAGGCAGAAAAAAAGGGAAGTTAGTAGGGGAGTCAATGTTGGGGCAGCAGGGCAGGGGCTGGCGGGGGAGGAGGGGGCAGGCAGTAGCGGTGGAGTGGCGCGTGGGGGCAGGGTGGCTGCGGCTGAGGTGTCCCGCCCCCTGGCTGGCTCGCTCTGGTCCTCAGTCAGCTGCAGGCTGGGGTGCTGGAAGACAGGGGTGCAGTTATGGGGACATGAAACCCCCCAACTTCCCCCTCTCTTAAGACCTCTCAGAGTTCCCCTCCCAAGAGAGCTTTGTTTGCAGACTCTCCCTCCCCCCACCCTGTCTCTCTTGCTTAGTCTCTCTATATACATATATATAATATATATAAATATAAAATATTTATTATTGATTTTTCCAGTCATGGGGCTTGAACTCAGGGCCTAGGCACTGTCTCTGAGCTCTTTTACTCAAGGCTAGCACTCTACCATTTTGTTATTTTTGCGTTTTTTTTTGGGTCCAGTCGTGGGGCCTGAACTCTGGGCCTGGGCGCTGTCCCTCAGCTCTTAGGCTCAAGGCTAGCACTCTACCACTTGAGCAACAGCACCACTTCCAGCTTTTTTTCTTTTTGCTTATGTGGTGCTGGAGAATCGAACCCAGGGCCTCATGCATGCAAGGCAAGCGCTCTACCACTGAGCCACCTTCCCAGCTCCCACTCTACCACTTTGAACCAAAGTGCCACTTGGCGTTTTCTGATAATTAGAGATAGAGTCTCACGGACTTTGCTGCCAGAGCTGGCTCTGAACCCCAATTCCCAGATCTCAGCTCCTGAGTAGCAGGGATTGTAGGTGTGAGCCACCAGTGCCTACTCTTTCCTTTTTCTTTCCTTTTTTTTTTTTTTGGTCGGTCGTAGGGCTTGAACTCGGCTTGGGTGCTGTCTCTGCACTCTTCCGCTCAAGGCGAACCCTCTACCGCTTGAGCCACAGCACCACTTCTGGTCTTCTAGTGGTTTAGTGGAGATAAGAGTCTCATGGACTTTTCTGCCCAGGGTGGTTTTGAACTGCGATCCTCAGATCTCCTCCTGAGAGCTAGGATTATAGGTGTGAGCCACTGGCACTGGGCTTCTTTTTCTTTGGTGTGTGTGTGTGTGTGTGTGTGTGTGTGTGTGTGTGTGTGTGTGTGTGTAGAGGATCTCACAGTGTAGTCCAGGTTGGCCTCAAACTCACAATCTTCCTGTCTCAATTTCCAGAATGCTAAGATTATAGGCATGACCACCAAGACCAGCCGAATGTCACCTTCTCAGGGACATCCTTGAACCTTCATTTCCAACAGCTCCCTCCTCCCATAGGAATTCTTATTTGTTTGCTTGATTGGGCCTTGAACTCAGGGCCTGGGCACTGTCCCTGACCTCTCTGTGCTCAAGGCTAGCGCTCTACCACTTGACTTACAGCGCCACTTCTGGTTTTTCTGCTTATGTGGTACTGAGGAATCGAACCCAGTGCTTCATGCATGCAAGGCAAGCACTCTACCACTAAGCCACCTTCCCAGTCCTGTTTGCTTGATTTTTTTGCCCACAATCCCCCTTCTCACCTCCTGCCACCTGTCCCCTGCTTCAGTGGTACCCATTGGTGAAGGCTGTGGCAATCAAGGGACCCTAGAGGGGGGAAAAATGAGACTCTTTGAATCCTGGAAACAGTCTGAGGTCTCCTGCTCTGTGGGGCAGATAGGGCACAGGCCCTTCACCCTGCCCACAGTACCCCCCCACTGCAGATTGACACATCACCACCTCCCAGGGGATCCCTGAGCTGGCCTCCATGCGGTCCGTGCGGTCAGAGATGGAGCAGGTGATGAGTAAGCACCCTCCACCCCAATGGGAGCCACTGGGAAGTGACACTTCCTGTCTCCATCTGCCTCCTCCCACGTTGGACAGACGAGGCTTCCTGCTGCCCCTCACCTTTGGGATCTGAGATCACTAAACCTGGCCACTCACCCCAAGACTGTGGCCGAAGCCAGTGCTGGGAGCAGGGCTGGCGGCGCTGATGTAACTGCTGACCCCTGAATCCTGGTTGGCCGCCCCATAGAGCTCAGCCATGGGGCCGGGACTGGTGGTTCCCAGGAAGCCCCCTGTGCGGCTGGGAGTGGAACCTGGAGGAGGAGCCATCGTCCAGGGGTGAGAGCCTGACAACCCAGAAAGAAGACAGTGATAGCCCTGATGCCCACTGCGGCCCATGGCATCCCCACCCCCGCCATCCCCTCCCACCCAGCCCTACCTGCACCACTCCGAAGCGAATGCAGGCCCCAAAGCTGGCCTTGAAGGTCCTCTGCCCCTTCCTGCCCTCCTCCCCGCCCCAACCTGGGCTCTTCCATGCTAACTTGGTTTCCAAGGCTTTGCACATGCAGTTCCTTCCCCCGAGAACACTTTTCCTTCTCCTCCTCTTTGGCCTTTTCTAGAGGCCCCAGCCCGGAGCTCCTCCGCTTTCTGAGCAGCAGGCTACCCTTCAGAATTGTGGCCGTTTGAACTGTGATGTCCCCCTCCCTGCCCCAGTCTGTAAGATCTGGAAGGCAGACACCCTGTGCGTGTAGCTCCTGTCTGGCTCATCAGGAATGGCACCGTGCCCAGCAGTGAGTAGATGCTCAGTTAATACTGAGGGATTACATGAGCCTTGTTGACAGGGGCGGGAGGGGCATCGTCGGTAGTCGCTCCTCCCTCCTCTGGGCTTCCTCTGTCCCCTGCATTCCCTTCCCAGGAGGCCTCACCTGTCCCTCGAACCACAGCTGCTGCTGCTGCGGCGGCTGCCATTGGTCCGTAAGCAGTGAGAGGAATGGCTGAAAGACAAGGCGTGGGCACACTCAGCGTGGCTGGAGGAGGCCTCTACCATCTGGGCATGATCATCATCATCTCCCGCCTAACTCTGCACCCAAGGGGTCACCTTTGGACCACCATCTTGTGACCTCACTCTATGGATGGGAAAAGGGAGGGGGAAAGGTCCCAGCAAGTATCTCAGCCTCAATTTCTCCCCTAGACTCAAGAACATGCTCCAACACTCATGGAGGGATTGTTGGCTATACTTGTCTCTTCTCTGTAAGTCCTGGGCCTGGAAGGGCTAGGAGAGCTTGCCCCTGGTCTCAGCACAGGCATGTGTCCTGGGGCTCCAGAATGTCCCATGGGTGAGGCTAAGATGAGACTCCTCTTCCCCACCCCAGCACCCCTCAGAGCCAGCCAGATATGGCCACCCCCTCCCCCAGCCCCTTCAGCCCCCCTTTCCATCAGCCTTTCCAGTCAGGGGCCTTGCTCTGCCCTCTGTCCACCTCCAACCTCTTCCACAGAGCCTCGCTCTGGGTCCAACCATGGGGGTTCATGTCTGCTGAAGGAGTAGAAGGGATTTGCTTTCCATCTGCTTTTGTTTTGTTTGAGACAGGGTGTCACCATGTAGTCGAGGCTGCCTCCAACTGACAATCCTCCTCCTGCTGAATGCTAGGACTAGTGGCTTCCTGGGGCTGAAGACTTCAGGGTTTGCACTTGGTAAGTCTGTGGGATACCAAGCTCTCATCTTAACCACCACCACTTGGAGCTGTTTAAGTAACCCAGACAAGGTTCCTTTAGATCCTCAGCAAAGCCATCAGGCTGTGTGTGCAGGGGGGGGGCGGGGGGGATTCAAAAGCAGAACTTCATGGTTCCTACATCCGGGAGGGGTCTTTCCCAAGATACTCAGACACTGGCTCCTTCTTAGACATTACCTCCTCTGAGAAGCCCTCCCAGACTACAGGCTCTGAGCCAGTCCTTTTTCCTCTAACCCGAGCCCAGCAACATAGGCTAGGGGTGAGGGGAGACCTCTGACTTTCTCACCTTTTGAAATCTCTCACTTACTGGTTTGTTTTACCCCCCCCCCTTTTTAATTTCTTTTTTCTTTTAGAATATCAGCTCCCTTATCTGACTTATTGTGTCCCAGGACCAGATCCAACCCTGGCACAATAAATATGTACTGAACTCAGGAGGAGGAAGAAAACAGCCAATTCTCCTTCCCCGTCCCCCACTTTGGTGTATGTGCCAGTCCTGGGCTTGAACTTAGGGCCTGGGTGCTGTCCTGAGCTTTTTTTGTTCGAGGCTTGCATCTGTCGCTTGAGCCACAGCTGTACTTCTTTTTGGTGGCTAATTGGAGATAAGAGTCTCATGGACTTTCCTGCCTGGGCTAGCTTTAAACCCTGATCCACAGATCTCATGGGGTCTGAACTCTGGGCCTGGGCGCTGTCCCTCAGCTCTTCAGCTCAAGGTTAGCACTCTACCACTTGAGCCAGAGCACCACTTCCTGCTTTTTCTGCTTATGTGGTGCTGAGGAATCGAACCCAGGGCCTCATGCATGCAAGGCAGGCGCTCTACCACTGAGCCACCTTCCCAGCCCCAGATCTCAGCCTCTTGAAATAGCTATAGGATTACAGGTGTGAGCCATGGTGCCCAGCCCAACTCTCCTTTTCTCTCAGGCAAGAGAGAAGTTTAGATGCCAGATGCCCAAGAATGGCTGAGCTGGCAGGGACAGAGGCTGGGCACTGAGGTCTCCTTTTCTGGCCCATATCCACAGCGCAAACTCAAAGAGGAACCAGTGTTAGGGAGTGCTTATCACCGAATAAAGAGTTACTTTTTTTAGTGATAAATATTTGTTTCTCTCTCTAGGCAGTATGTTCCATGAAAGCTGTCTTTCCCTGCCCCAAGGGCCTGATGGTAGTATGCTACATAGTAGATCCTTAACACAGTCCGTCCTTCCTTTCTCCTTCCTTCCTTTCTCCTTTTCTTTTTTTGTATGCTAGTACTGGGGCTTAAATTCAGGGCTTGGACATGGACACTATCCTTGAGGCTTCTCACTCAAGGCTGGAGCTCTACCACTTGAGCTACAGCTCCATATCTGGCTTTTGCTGGTTAATTGTAGACAAGAGTTTCATGGACTTTCTTGCCCGGGCTAGCTTCTAACTACAATCCTCAGATCTCAGCTTCCTGAGTAGCTAAGATTATAGGTATGAGCCAGTGACATCTGGCTAGCACAGCTTTTAAAAAAACATTTATTTATTTATTTATTTTTGCCAGTCCTGGGGTTTGAACTCAGGGCCTGGACACTATCCCTGAGCTTCTTTTGCTCAAGGCTAGCACTCTATCACTTGAGCCACAGCACCACTTCTGGCTTTTTTTGTTTATGTGGTACTTTTTCTGTTTCTGTGCATGCTAGGCAAGCACTCTACCACTAGGCCACATTCCCAATTGGAAATTATTCTTGTATGTTGGTCCTGAGGCTTGAACTCAGGGCCTGGGTATTGTCCTTGAGCTATTTTGCTCCAGGCTAATGCGCTATTACTTAAGCACAGCCCCACTTCTGGTTTTTTTGGTTGGTAATAGAAGTGTAGAATCTCACAGACTCTCCTGCTGGGGCTGTCTTTGAAGCATAATTCTCACATCTTGGCCTCCTCCATAGCTAGGATTACAGGCCTGAGTCACCAGTGTCTGGCTCTAGAAACAGACTTTTCTTTTTCTTTTCTTTTTTTTTTTTTAGGTCTAAGACTGGGACTTGAGCTCAGCACCTGCTGCTTTGCTTTTGCTTATTGACTAGTGCTCTATCAACTGAGCCACACCTCCAACCCCCTAGCACAGACTTTTTTAAAATCGGTTATGGGGCTTGAATTCTGGGCCTGGGCGCTGTCCCTCAGCTTTTCAGCTCAAGGCTAGTGCTACCACTTGAGCTACAGTGCCACTTTTGGTTTTCTGAGTGGCTATTGGAGATAAGAGTCTGGCAGACTTTCTTGCCTGGGCTGGCTTTGAACCTCGAACCTCAGATCTCAGCCTCCTTAGTAGACAGGATTACAGGTGTGAGCCACCAGCGCCCAGCTAGCACAGACTTCTTTACACAATCAAAAAGTCTCCCTCCCCATCCAGGTTCCAGGTTAAATGCAACTCAGTTCATGGTAGTTGGCTTCTTCCTTTTGTCCCTTTAGCCCCATGTTTATCTGCTCCCTCTCTCACTTTGGGGGACCCCTGAGCACCCCTTGGAAGGAAGGTCTCATCTAAAAAGCAGTATCCACGCTCATATCTTCCACACATGGTCAGGTCGCAGAGAGGAGCCCGGGTGGGGTGGGAAGAAGCAGGCTGGACAGAAACCCAGGACACCCTACATTGTGTGCACCCTGCTCCCCAGCCTGGCCCAACTCACCCAGCTCCTCAGCTAGCCCCAGTGGGCTCCCACTGGCCAACCACCTTTACCCCACTTTTCCAGAAGTCACAAATGGGGGCCCCCAAAGGCTGGTTCAGCAATTCAACAATCCATGGCATGCATTGACAAGCCTATCATAGGGTCTTGGTAATTTGGAATTTGTTGCCAATATTTAAAACTGAGTGGAAGAAAAAAAAAACGAAGAAGAAAAAATAAAAAAAAAAACCTACGAAAACAGAAGCTGGGATTGTGGCTTGTCTGGGAACAAGAGACCCAGAGTTCTGAGTCCACACCCCTCAGCAGGGCCACGGCGCCAAGTACACGCATGCATCCTGGCTTGCATAGGGCCACGTACCCTCCCCCCCCCCCCCGCCCCTTCTCCCTCCCCCAGGCCCACTCTGCTCTGCTTTTGCGATCCTGACCTGTTCACTGTTGGATCCCAGAGCCTCTGTGGTGCCTGGCGCCTGGAAGGTGCTAGATCAATATTTGCAAATGGATGAATGAGTGACTTTACCTCCATTTGCTTGGCTTGGCTCAGTGCCTCACACTGAAGGGCCATGGAGCTACAGAGACTGGTCAGTGCCCGGGGCCCAGTCCGCTGTGGCCCCACAGCCAAGGGGCTGGTGGGCAGGAGGAAAGGGTCCCACTGAGCTCTCCCCGGGAGGGTCCCGAGCAACTGACCTGTAAGCTCGGGGAGGACTGGGGCGCTCGGGAGTGGGGTCCGCTCTACACGGAATTCTAAAATGAAACGGAAAACAGCTTAGGAGGAGGTAGGGGAGTCTCTTGGGCGTGGCCCAGGGGGCAACCACGGGGTACTGAGGGAGGGGGTGGGCGAGCACAGGCCCCAGCAGGCAGGTGGGGGGCAGGGGACAGAGAGAGGACAGAGGGAGAGTCAGAGCAGGCAGTCACCACCTACGTCGTGGGCCCAGGGCAGTCAATGGTGGTGCCACAGTTCTGGGTGCTTTTTGGTTTTTGCTTTATGAGGCTTGAACTCAGGGGCCTGGGCACTGTCCCTGAGCCTCTTTTGCTCAAGCCTAGCACTCTACCACTTTGAGCCACAGTGCCACTTCCAGTTAGCTAGTGGTTAATTGGAGATAAGGAGTCTCATGGACTTTCCTGCCTGGGCTGGCTTCGAACTGCGATCCTCAGGATATCAGGCTCCTGAGTAGCTAGGATTATAGATGTGAGCCACTGGCATCTGGTTTTTATTTCATTCTCTTTTTTTATTATTATTTTATTAATTAATTTTTTGGGGGGGTGTCTGGGACTGGGTGCTGTCCCTGAGCCCTTCAGCTCAAGGCCAGCGCTTTACCACTTGAGCCACAGCACCACTTCTGGTTTTCTAGTGATTTTGGAGATAAAGAGTCTCATGGATGTTCTTGCCCAGGCTGGCTTTGAACCGTGATCCTCAGATCTCAGCCTTCTTAGTAGCTAGGATTACAGGCATGAGCCACCGGTGCCCAGCTATTAATTAATTAATTTGTTATAATACTAGGGTTGGAACTCAGGGCCTCCGTTTTGGAAGGCAGGGGCTCTACCACTTGAACCATGCACCCAGCCTGCTTTTTGTTTTGTTTTGGTGCTGGCATTGAGGCTAAAACTCAGGCTCTGGGCCCTGACCGCAGCTTTTTCCCTCAAGGCTGGCACTTTACCACTTGAGCCTCAGCTTTCTGGTGATTAAGTCTGCTGGGGCTGGCTTTAAATCACAATCTTCAGATCTCAGCCTCCTGAGCAGCTGTGATTACAGGCATGAGCCACTGGTGCCTGGCTACAGCCTGGCTATTTTGGCTCAGCATTATAAGTAAATGAGAATCTTATAAGTGTTTGATATTTTATGCTTGAAAGAAAACAACATTGGATAATCACAGGACGTTATTCACACTCTAGTGTTGGCTTCATGTCCAATTACAAATGAGGGTGGATTTGGTATCTCCAGAGTGCTTTGGGATCTTGCAAGGACTCAGCACAGCACCCTGGCCACTGTAGGTGTGACAGGGAAGGTAGGGCCCACTCTGGCTCTTAGGGACCCCCACCCACTGCAAGCTGGGTACCCTCCCTGGGTGAGAATGATACCTCTGGACCCATGAGGACAGAAAAGCAGGACGCAGACAGAGGACAAACAGCCTGAGAGATGACAGTGCCACACAGCACCATGGAGGAAGTGATGGAGAATGGGAAAAGCCCTCCTTCTGCAGACGCGCCCTTCCTTCCAAGCCTCCAGCAGGCAGACTCCCCACCCCCACCCCAAGTCATGCACCCCAGACCCCATCTGCAAATTGCCTGAGAAAATGAGGGACATGCTGGCGGCGGGGTGACAACAAGGAGGACTTACCGGGGAACTGGTAGGTATAGCCAGGGGCAAGGCCTGTGTAACTCCGGCTGGCGTAGGTTGTGGCTTGAAAACCGGGGTAGCCTGACAGGAGCAAAGGGGCAGCGTCAGATCCGTCAGATCCGTTACCCCTCCTCCCACCCCTCCCTGGGACCGTGGCTGTGGATCTGAGCCACATAAATTCCTCCCTCCTGCAGTGATATCATGGAAAACCCTCAGGCCTGCTTTCCAAATACCTGGTGCACGTCAACCCCTATGATAAACCCAGAGTACACTTCGGTTATCTCATTAAACCTCTTAAGCACAGTCACAGCTAGGTACTATTGGAAGCCTTGTTTTATAGACTTGGAAACTGGCTGAGAACAATCCAACACCCTGACCAAACTCCTCTGTGCTCCAGCCCTCACCCTCCTCCTGCCTTTATCAATTATATACCGAGTCTCTCTTTCCCTGGGCTCCAGCCACAGGGCTTTCTTTGAGGGCTTCTCAAATTTGCCAAACTCATTTCTACCTCTGGGCCTTTGCACCTGCTGTTCAGGTGCCTCTGCTCCAAGTCCCACCCAGTGATTAAGTGAATGAGGCCTCATTGCACAAGTGTCTAAAAAGTCTCCTCATTCCCCCTCCCTCAGCTGTTCCCCGCCCCCTTACACAGCACTGAGGTCTTTGTTCAAGAATATCTCAAGGTTTCCATAAATGCCAACTTTCTGTCTTTCTCAAGGGAAAAAAAAATCCTATAATTAGTAATGCTGGTGGAATTGGGAGTTGAATCCAGGTCTGACTAGCCCCGAGGCTCTCAACCACAAATCTATTTAGCATAGGGTCCTCCTCCTCCTCCTCTTCTTGCCAGTCTTGGGACTTGAACTCAGCGACTGGACACTTCCCAGAGCTTTCTTTTTTGCTCAAGGCTATGGTTCTACCACTTTAGCCACAGCGCCACTTCTGGCTTTTTCTGTTTATGTGGCACTAGGAATCAAACCCAGGCCTCCATGCATGCTAGGCAAAGACTACCACTAAGCCACATTCCTAGCCATTTCTTCCACTTCTTTGCATCTTTTCCTTCCCTTCCATCCTTCCCTCTATCCTCCTTTCTCCCAATTCCTTCCTTCCTTCCTTCCTTTTTTATTGGTCGTGTGGCTTGAACTCTGGGCTTGTGCACTATCCCTACATTCTTCAGCTCAAGGCGAGCGCTCTACTGCTTAAGCCACAAAGCCAAGCCACAAAGCCAAGCCACTTCCGGTTTTCTAGTAGTTTATTGGAGATAACAGTCTCATGGACTTTACTGCCCAGGCTGGCTTTGAACCAGGATTCTCAGATCTTAGCCTCCTGAGTAGCTAGGATTACAGGCGTGAGCCTTCCCTTCCCTTTCTTCTTTCTTGAATTTTTGGAAACAAAGTGTCTCTATGTAGCCCAGATTATCTCCTTCTACTACAGGGACTACAGATGTAAGCCACCATATTCAGCCTTTATTTATTTGTTTTTATTTATTTATTTGGTCGTGGGGCTTGAACTCAGGGCCTGGGCACTGCTCCTGAGCTCTTTTGCTCAAGGTTAGCACTCTAACACTTTGAGCTTCAGCGCCACTTCTGGTTTTCTGATGGCTAATTGGAGATAAGAGTTTCACAGACTTTCCTGCCCAGGGTTGGCTTTGAACCACAACCCTCAGATCTTAGCCTCCTGAGTAGCTAGGATTACAGGTGTGAGCAATAGGACCCCAGCTTCATCTTGGGAGCCTTTCTAACTTCCACAGAGCTTTTTTTTTTTTTGGTCAGTCATGGGGCCTGAACTCTGGGCCTGGGCTCTGTCCCTCTGCTCTTCAGCTCAAGGTTAACACTCTACTACATGAGCCACAGCGCCAGTTCCGGCTTTTCATGCTTATGTGGTGCTGTGGAATCGAACCCAGGGCCTCATGCATGCGAGGCAAGCACTCTACCACTGAGCCACCTTCCCAGCCCTTCCACAGAGCCTTCTTTCTTTCTTTCTTTTTGTTTTTTCTTTTGCCAGTCCTGGGCACTGTCCCTGAACTGATTTTGATCAAGGCTAGCATTCTATCACTTGAGCCACAGCACCACTTCCAGTTTTTTCTATTTATATGGTACTGAGGAATCCAACCCAGGGCTTCATGCATGCTAGGCAAGCACTTGACCACTAAGCCACATTCCCAGCCCCTATAGAGTTTTCTTTAGGTACCTCCTTAAGTCTCCCATACCCCTCAAGCACTCTGTTGGGACAATGCCCACTCACTCCTCTCTTGCTTGAAGGACAGTCCCACGAGGACAGGTCCTATCCCTCCAAAGCCACCCCTAAGCTGTGTGCTGGTGGCTTACACTTATAATCCTACCTATTCAGGGGGCTGAGACCTGGGAAGATCTCCCTTCAAAGATAGCCTAGACAGAGAAGTTTTGAAGGCTTCCAATTAACCAGCGAAATGACAGACTAGAGGCATGGCTTAAGTGGTAGAGCACCAGCTGTGAATAACTGAGCCGAGCAATTGGGCAAAGCCAAGTTCAATCTCCAGTACTGGTGCATGCATGCACACCCCCTCCCCCGCCAGGCACAGCCCCCCACCCTAAAAATTATCTGAAAAAGGAGGAATTTTCTTTCTGCTTTTCCAAAGGCCTTTGTGTAAATGCTTTCCCCTCTGTCTGGAACAGTTTTCTTTTCTTCCCTCCTTACCCATAACTGGCTTTGCCTCAACCTGAAGACTCTACTCTGCACAAATGTAATTTATTTTCCAGTTTCTCTAAGTCTTAGTGCAACTTTTGTGGCCATACTCCTTTGGTATCATATACTCCAACCTAAATCTATTTACCGTCTTACTTAGGTGTCTTTTCTAAAAGACTTTTAAATCTTAGGAAAGGCACTGTTGAGATCCATGACACAGTGCCCAGCTCAATATCTATTTACTGGATGAACAGATGGATGGATAAGAGATTGGATAGATGGACCAATTAGTATGGGGCAGCTGGACTATTTTCCCAGCTGCCACAAGGGGGCAGAACTTGACAACCAAACCACCCCACCTTAGGGCAGGTCGGCCAGACCCGATGAGATGCCTTGCCTCCACTCCTGCCCAATGACTCACACAGGAGGGCAAACCACAGAGATGTGACACCCACGCAACCCCCTGGTAGCCTGGGGAGCAGTTCCGGGCATGAAGAAGCCGCAGATGCAGGCCTAGCAACGTACCCAGCATGCCAATACCCAGCATGAAGGCGTCCATTCCATAGGGCATGACTCGAGACCTTCCCCTGGCTGAGCCCGTGGGAGACATCACCTCCTTTGGCTGAGCTTTCTTACATTCCACCTGCAATGAGACCTGACAGTCAGTCCCTTCTTAGGGCTAGGGTCACTGTCCCCTCCCCCCCATCCCACACTGGGCCTCGTTATTCACATTTATGGTGCATTCGTTATGTACGCAAAAGGTTTTGCAGGCACCAGTTCCACGGAACAGGCATTCGCACTGAACTGAGTGAGTCCCATTTTACAGATCCCCAAACTGAGACTCATGGGGAGATCCACTTAACCATGGTGTGACAGCATCATTTGGTGTCAGGGGAACAGGGTCCGCCCAGCTCGCGCTGAGCAGCCCCCCTCGAGGCCTCTGGAGTCCCACTCACTCTTTCAGCACCCCAACCTCCCTCTAACCTCAGCTCACCATTTTGTTGTTGATTTCATGGAAGTGGATTTCACACACTTTTTCCACGATGTCCTCACTCTCAAACGTGACAAATCCGAACCCTGGAGAGGTGGGACAAGGGGGCAAGGGTAGGGTCAGAAGCAGGTTGATGGTCAACACCTAGCCCCAGGCCATACAGATACCACAGCTCCTCGTTTGTGGGCAAGTGTCTGAGATTTAATGAAAGGCTCTAGCCACAGCCTAGGAGCCTCTCAACTACCAGCTGACACAGGGTTTCAGGTCCCAAATTACAGATGAGCAAAACAAGGCTCAGCAGAGTGAAGGAACTTGCTCAGAGTCACACAGCAAGTTAGAAAGCGGCCAAGATGCCACAAGAACCTAGTAGTCCCTCAGGAGCAGAGAGGGACAAATTCCAGGACCCTCAGAGATATCAAATCTATACTGTGCCCTAGTCCCTTGGATTAAATGTGATAGTATTTGCATGTATCCCCTATACACACCCATCCTGTATACTTTAAACCATTTCTAGATGACTTCCATTACTTAAAACCCATGTAAATACTAAGCAAATAGTTGTCATGCTGTATGGTTGAGGAGAAATGTCGGCTTAGTACGGGTGTAATTTCCAAGAACACAGGCCAGGGTCTTGCACATGCTAGGCAAAGACTCTACCAATGAACTATATCCTCAGCCCTCTCAATTTTTTTTTTTTTTTTGGATCCCAAATTCTTTGAACCTGAAAATGTAAAACCCATAGAAACAGGGGTAGGGGAATTCAGGAAGGCTGTAATTTAACATGCCTTTTCTTTCCTTCAGTGCTTTTCAAAAAAGAGCACCCAAATATATCCTTGTGCTCAGATATACAGACACACATATATACATACACACATATGTAGCCCATAGCCACTCCCTACAAAGGCCCAAAGAAGAAATAGCCTTTGAAGGAATAGCCTAGCCTCTTCCAGAGTATCGCCAGCATCTGGGCAGATTTCTCAGAAGGTTGTTTATCCCTTGGGAGATAAACAACCAGGCCCAAGTAATCCCAAGACCCAGATGACCACAGGTTCAGGGCCAAAGTGGCTAGGGGACTGAGCTTGGCCTAGGGTAGGGGGCAGCCGCACAGCAAACTGCCTGGGACAGTGGAGTCAGCCCAGCGCTGGGGCAGCCTGGCCTCAGCTCTAGTTACCAGCCACAAGGTAAACCACCAGCAGAGGCAGACTTGGCCCAGGGAAGGGGGTGGGGGGCAGCGGTGGGTGGTGGAGGGTTCCGACGAGGAGGGGGGAGGCAGTCCTCTGCTCCTCTCTGTGTCTGTAATTGGGCAAGTTTCTAGCACAGGAAATGGCGGGACAAAAGCCTTCTGTAAGGCCAGGCCCTGGAGAGGATGCAGATCCTTGGGGATAGAATGTCAGGAGGCAAAGATAAAAGGGCAGCTGTGACCTGCAGCCCCCTGGCTGACCACAGGCCCCCTGGCCCAGCCTGCAGAAGGGGGAGGGGACACACTCACCTCGGTGCCGGTTGGTGGTTTTGTCAAACATCAGCATGGCATCGTCCACCTGAAATACAGCCCTGCCGTGGGGGATCCACCAGACACCAGAGCCCCCACAACCCGCTCCCAGCCCACACCAGCCTTCTTTATTATTATTATTATTTTTTTTTTTTACCAGTCGTGGGGCTTGAACTCTGGGCCTGGGCGCTGTCCCTGAACTCTTCAGCTCAAGGCGAGCACTCTACCGCTTGAACCACAGAGCCATTTCTGGCTTTCTGGTGGTTTACTGGAGATAAGCATCTCATGGACTTTCCTGCCCAGGTTGGCTTTGAACCATGATCCGCAGATCTCAGCCTTGTGAGTAGCTAGGATGACAGGTGTGAGCCACCCACGCCTTCTATATCCGCTCTCGGTTCAGTGGACAAGTTTCCCCCCTCAGTACCCTGACTCAACATTCTCAGTCCATCATTCTTCAGCTCCCAATATGTGCCAGCTACTTTGTTCCCATGATCTATACTTTCCTTGTAGGGAAAAAATCCCCCATGGTGTACATTTAAAAAAAAAAATGGCACAGAGAGGTGCCATTGCCTGCCCAAGGTCACACAGCCCATCCTGGACCAAACCAAGAAGGAATGGATGTTAAAGAGAAGGAAATACGGGGAGCAAGATTATGAAATGCAAAAAGGCAAGGCCAACAGGACAGCAGTCAGACTCAACTCCCCTCTCCTGGTACAGATCTTTTCTCTAATTGAGGTTTCCTTTCGCTAGAGGCTGTAATTAAAGCAAGTAGAGCTCAGTGCCTGGGCTGCCTGCCTTCCACTGACTTGGGGGGTGGGGTGGGGAAGGGAAAAGATCTACAGTTTCCCTCTCTTAAATGCCAGTCATAGCTCCTTGCTACTTCCTCCAGCACTTCTTGCCTCTTTTTTTCTTTTCTTTTGTTGTGCCAACACTAGGGCTTCGACTCGGGATCTGGGTGACTTTTAACTTTTTTGCTCAAGGCTCATGCTCAACCACTTACGCCATAGCTTGGCTTCCAGCTTTTTGGTGGTGAACTGGAGCTAAGTCTCGCAGACCTTCCTTTCCAGGCTGCCTTTGAATCTCGATCCTCAGATCTCACCTAGCTTCTCGAGCAGTTAGGATGACAGGAGTGAACCACTAGCCCTTCTGGCCTTTTTGTCTGATTCACCAAAGGTCAACTCCTCAGACTGTGGGCACAGTCTACCCCTGGCTTCCCTTCCTCCCATCTCCAGACCGACCTTCCTGTACCCTGTTAAAAGTGGACGGTGCTGACCCTGAGCTACAATGCTCCTCCAGCTCGCCTTTAGCATCAAGCCAGATCCCAGGAGCATCTTAGAGGGAAATGATGGCCCCCTTTCCCCTGCCCCAAGGAACTTCCAGCCCTGGGCCCTACAGCACAGCACCACCTTCACCCCCACCCCCAGCACTTCAGGCTCCTGCCTATCTGTTTAAACCCCCTGGAAAACAGACACAGAGGCGGCTTTTGATCAAAGCTCAGGTTTTTCAGTAGAGCAGGCCTGAGTTGGAATCCTGGTTGTACACTGGCAGGTTAGGTGACCTGAGGCAAGGCAAGTAGCTTTAGGTCTCCAAGACTTGGATTCTTCATCTGTGAAATGGGTGTGAATAGCAACTATCTCCTAGGAAGGTGTTAAATGAGATAGTGCATGCAACACTCTTTAAAAAGTACCTGGGATTTAGTAAATGCTTAATAACTAACAGCTGCTGTTTTTTCTTTTATACGTGGAGGGACTTGGCCCACAATCACGTGGAGGAGGCTGGCAAAGCTTAGAGGGCTGAATGGCTTGAAGGTTCTATGAGAAGATCTGTGGTCACTGCTCTATGGAGCACCTTGGGCTCCATTAATTATTTCTTGAATGGACGCAAGGGAATGAACAGAAGCAACAGCCACACCTTTATCCCTAATCCCACAGCTTTTGAGTTCTTGCCCGACCCACAAACTGATGGAGGCCAAATCCAGTCTTTCCGGCCCTCTTTTTTTTTTTTTTAAACCTCCCCTCTTTCTATGCAATCTTCCAAACTCAATATGTACCTGGGTCTTTTTACATCCTCCAACTGGGGCCTTGGCTGGACAGATCTGGGCCTACACCCCATTGGGGTGGTAACGGGTGGTAGTGGGGTTGAAGCCAGGGCAGAGAGGAAGGAAAATGGCAGGGATCCAGGGTACCTCCATTGGTGTCCCCCCTCCACCCTCACCCCCCCCACCCCATCCTCCTGGGGCCAGCTGAGAGGAGGGAGGGCTCTCAGCCCAGTGTCCTTAATAGGCTTTGGTCTCCATGGGAACCCAAGGGCAGGGGGGCTCATGCAGGGGGGAGGGGAGGCGACCGAGGCCTGCTGACCAGTGGGAGCCGCCAAGTTCGGCGACCACTAAGCCTGAGTGGCAGCCATGGCGGCTGACCATTGTTCCCCCCCACCCCCCCCACCTCCCCAACCCCGGCGGCGGCAGGGGCCCCTCGATCCGGGCCAGGGAGGGAGGTGGTGGGTGGCCCCCTGCCGCGGGGCCCTTGGCATTCCCGGCTGTCCCCCTCGCTCCCTGGCAGCCTATTCTCCGGCTCCCCCTGGCCTCCCCGGGCCGGTTTCACATGCCAACGCCGATTTAGGCCCGAACAAAAGACGCGGCCGCTGACGGCTTCTCCTGGGGCCCGGTTGCCGTGGCAACGCCGGCCCCGGGGGCAGGCGGCCTCCAATCACAGCTGCTGGATCAGATTAGTGTGAGCTCTAATGCTCGGCGCTCAGACACAAAGACACCCCGCCGGAGCCCAGCCCGGGCCTGCTGCTTCCCAGGAGCGCCCTTCTCTGTCTCTCTCGGTCTCTGTGTGTGTGATCGTGTGTGTGTGTGTGTGTGTGTGTGTGTGTGTGTGTGTGTGTGTCCGTGTGTCTCTGGGGCCCAGGCCCGACCTGACCAAGTCAGGGGGTGCCAGGTCCCCATGGAAGTGGTCTGAGTCCATAGGCCTCTTGGCCCCAAACATCCACCCATTTCCCCAGACCTTTTTCCAGCCTTGGCCTACTGGGAAACCTGAAATGCCTCCATGGGAAAAATGGAGCCTCCACTCCTTTAACCTTGACATTCGGATGGCTCTTTGCCATCTCCCTAGAGGGCTTTGACGTTCACACTGCTCACCTGGTCTGAGTCCTCAGACACCTGATTGTCCGGCCAGTGCCACGCCTCCTAACCTTTTCATACGCTACCTCTTCACTGACCCAGAAGTTAAAAGATCCGTGCACCTCAGAGTTCAGAGCCAATCCTCTGGACAAGATCAGAATTTGGGGTGTTTTCTTCACTTCCCACCCATAAGCTAGGGGACAAGGGTGGGGGGTTATCAACCTTCCCAGATCCTGCTTTGCAAGTCTCCCCCTCTGTGCACACAGGGTACTGGGTACAATGGGGAAGTCATATTATTTATTTATTTATTTTGCCATTCTGGGGCTTGAACTCAAGGCCTGCACACTGTTCCTGAGCTTCTTTGTGCTCAAGGCTACTACTTGAGCCCACAGCATAACTCCTGGCTTTTTCTGTGTATGTGGTACCGCGGAGTTGAGCCCAATGCTTCATGCATGCTAGGCAAGCACTCTACCACTAAGCCACATTCCCAGCCCGGGAAAATCATATTTATTGTCTCCTTATCATCCACCACTAGGAAGGGGTGGCGGGGAGGTACAGCTGCCCGTGGCCTGGACAGGTGCAAACTCTCAGGAGACCACAGTGGGGGTGGTGGGGGTGGTGACTAGATTGAACTGGCTACAGGAGCATGTCCTCCCCTGGGAGAATGAAGATAAGCAGGAGAAAAAGACCGGGGAAGGACAACAAAAGAACACTACTGTGTGGCATCCTTCCCCTGGGGATGTCCAGTCAGAGGCCCACAGATGGGCCAGGAGCCTGAACAGTGGCCTGGCCTGATCTCACCCACAGAATATACCTAGTGCCTCTTTCACCTTTGGTAGGATGGCGGGGGTGGGGGTTGGAGGGAGGTAGCCTGGCTCCCCTCCTTGCTACTGTACTCCCCAGCATGTTCACAATCCCAGCAAGCATGCCCCCCCCCCCCCCCCCCCCCGCAAAGACCCACCTTCCCAAACTGCTCAAAATATTGCTTCACATCTTCCACTGTGGTGTTCACCGAGAGGCCCCCAACAAAGATCTTCTTCGTCCGAGTCACCATCTGTTAAAGGCAGGGAAGGAGAGAGTGGGCATCTGAGTCCTGTGGCCCACCGCCACCAGCAGGGGCTCGAGCCTCCCCCCCCACCCCCCCCACCCCCGCCAGGATGCCAGCTGACAAGCTCTCTGTGGCCCCAGCCTCTCAGAAGGGAACCCCCTCCCCCGCCAAGCTCCCGCTTGGAACCCTGCCTCTAGTCCTGTCACAGGCAGCTGTGTACCCCACACCGTCCTCACTCAGGCCTCCTTCTTGCCCCCTCTCTCCCCTCCCCCTCCAGGGTCTGGGCCTGGAAAATAACCTCCCTTAAGTCCTCATCTACAAGGGAAGGGGGGGTGGACTAATGACCCAGATCCACAGCCTACTCCAAAGCCCCACCCGCCCTCCTGGGAGATGCCAAGGCCATGGGGAAAGGAGGGGGTGTCCCTGAACTTAACTCCGACATTTTCCCCATCAACCTCCTCCTCCCCACCCAACCTCTGGCAGCCCCGTGGCCCCAGTCCTGTTTTAGGAAGAACACATGGTCCTAATTACCCCAGGAGCGCATGGCTAATCCACAGCAATTCCCAACCCCATCCTAACACTAAAGCACCTTCTGTCACCAAACTGCTTAATGGAATTAACCCAATTCCGACCATGTGCTCCCTGGTACGGCTTCCTTCGGATACCTGCTCGGTAATTGCTTTCAGGCTCTCTGCTGGACCACTTCCAGAGATGTCCCTTTCCTGTCTACTAAAACTGTTCCTGTCCCTTCATCTTGTCAGGACCCCGGAGGCCTTGATGGAGTCCAGTGGCTCCGAATCTCCAAGCCCTCTCATTCTCACCACCCCTTTACAAAGGGGGAAACTGACATTTCCTGGGGAAGACCACGTGATAATGTCCACAAACCCGGGGATCCTGACTCCCTGGCCTGTAATTGGCCTTTCTTTCTGTCCCAGAGAGGCAATGCATTAAAAAGGAAAGAAAGAAAGATCTGGCTAGTTGCCATAGGCCTGGAATCTGTGGTACCTGCCCTGTGGCACAAGTTTGGAGTGCTACGTCATTCAACTGCTCAGAAATCCACTTTCCGTCTATACTGCCCCTTCTCCTCAGGAACACCAGAGAAAGGGAGCAGACACAGATAACCTAAGTCAAAGGATAACTGGTGACCAGCTTCTTGGTTCCCTTCCCCCTCTGCAAGCCCAGCACACCTCCCAGGAGAGGGAGGAGGTGACAGGAAGTGGGAGGGGGCATCAGAGTAGGCTCCTGGTCAAAATCTAACCCAGCTTCAGGGGGCAATCCTGTCCTATTTTTGACCCCCAGAAGCTCTAGGCATAAAGACTGTGATCTATGAGGTCAGAATTAAGACTCAGGGCCCCAGACTGTACTAACTTCAAATAAAGAAAGACCCATGAGGTCCCACACATTCAGCGCCCCCCCCTCCCCCTTGCAGTCTACCCCAGAGCACAGATGTTAACACGCACAGGACCAGGGACACTCCCTCTTCCTACCCCAGCCTATTCTAGAAACACTCCACACGCAAGATCCAGAAGCATCTGCCACTGAAGGTAATGCTGGGAAAAATCAATGTCCAGAGTCGCCCAAGGTTGATTCCCAAATCTCAGATGCAACACCTACCTTAGGCTGTGCTCTCCGAGGAAAGGCCACCTTGGGGTCAATCTGAAAGACAAGGGGGACGTTTAGAAGTTTTCGTTATCACATTTCTTCTGGTCCTCATCCTACAGCTTTCCATTCTGAGCACCTCTCTCATTCTGGAACCCAGAAGTCACAGGAACCAACAACAGCCTCAGGCAGGAAAGCACAGTGGTTAAACAAGGTACTATGTTCAAATCCCACTTATAGCACATCCCAGCTGTGAGACCTGGGGCAAGTTGATCTAACCTCTCTGAGCCTGAGAGTCAAGCTTACCTGCAAAATAGACGAATGAATAATACCCACCTCAAAAGGTCATTTGCGGATTACCAGAGATAATACATTCAAAGCACTTGACATGGTGTCTAACTCACAGTAAGAACCAGAAATGATGTAAGCCAAATCTTTTTCCTTCAAGTATCAGGTCATCAAGAGCCTCCCTTGGTTAAATGACTTCACACAGCTATCTGTCTAGGGAAGGCATTCAACTCTGACTTTAGAAGCCTTGCAAATGGAAATATACTTTGCCTGGGAAAGAGAGAGAGAGAGAGAGAGAGAGAGAGAGAGAGCTACAAGATGAGAGTTCAGAACTACCAGGAATAGACTTAGTTCTGTTTCCTCAATCCTTCCAGCCTCTAGCAACCCTCCTAGAAGCGGTAAGCAAAGAGCTCCCGATAATGAAGCCAGACTTGGGGCGAGGCAGGGTGCCTCAAGTCTTTGATGACATGAAAGGGCATAGGACTTGGACTTTAGTAACTTTGGGCTGCTTGCCAAGTCTGTGATCTTAGTAACTTCATTCACTCCGCCCCCCCCAGCCTCAGTACCCACATCTGCAAAGTGGGGACAATCACTGCCATTCTCCCCAGGGACAGCTATGAGGCCTTAAATAAGATAACATAGGTGAGGAGCTAGGCACCTGTCATCCTAACTCCTCAAGAGGCTGAGATCTGAGGATCTTGGTTGGAAGCCAGCCTGGGCAGAAAAGTCTGTGAAACTCTTAGCTCCAATTAACCACCAAAAAGTCAGAAATAGAGGTGTAGCTCAAGTTGGTAGAGCACTAGGCCTTGAGTGGAAAAAGCCAATTGAGAGCATAAGGCCCTGAGTTCAAGCCCCAGTACACACACACACACACACACACACACACACACACACACACACACACACACACACAGGTGAAAGCAGCCTTTTGTGAACTGCCCTTCATTTCACAAACAAAAGAGCTATTACCAGGAGGCCACCTTTGCCCTTGGCTGGGAACAACCAGAGGGAAAAATCAAGATGCACTTGGACCTGGGTACTCCAGTGAAATTGACAAACAGCAAGAGACAGGGCATGAGACATTGTGACCAACACAAGACCTAAAGGCAGGGTCATTCTAGACAGTTTCTTGTCACTCATAGGAATGCACATCATTCAGAAGTTGAGTAGCCAATCACAAGGAAGATGTGTCTTTTCCCAAAGTTCCTTCTGTTCAAAATGGCACAGACCGGGAAGGAGCCTTCTGCCAGCTTCCTACTGCAATCTTCCCATAAAGACAGTACCTCCCAAATCCATGCCCAGGGCAATGCCTCCTCCAGCAAAAGCCCCCTGGGCTAAAGGAAAGAAAAAAAAAATCCAAGGTGCCTATGGTCCCTGTCTGAAGTTTTGATTTCACACTTTTATGGACATTTTCAGTCTGTTTCTCCCAGATGCAGCGTCCTCAGACACCTATGTACTTCAGACGGTCCCTCTGCACAGGCCCCAATGGGGAGATGGTACCCAAGCCACATTCCCCCTGACTCACCTGTACCCCTGTAGCCAGCCACGGACACTCCCCACCCCCCACTCTGACTCACAGCTGGCAACATAAATAAAACCCAACAAGTAAATAAAAGGTGGAAGTCAGAACCCAAAATAGACTCCCCACAGCAAATCTCCCTCCCACCCCCTTCTCCAACCCAAAGATGCCAAACACAGACAAAGCCCTTGCCCTTAGCCAGTCCTGGTATCCTAAGGATACCCATCTCCCCATCCTTCCTCCTGCTCTCTCTTGTCCTTATCAATCTTTCACTCCTCCAGCCGCCCACCCCCCCTTCCAGGCCCCAGCTTCTAAACTCAGGCTTCCTGAGTTCGGCAGGAGCCATCAGTGCATTCTGAGGACAGGGGATGGTAGGAGAACAGGCAGCTTGATGGTAGATAATCACCAAAAAACAATAGGCCACTGTCTCTCCCTTCCCAGCCTGGGTCACTCGGGCTGCGCCAAGAAGATCCTTTCAGAGCGGGCAAAGTCGAGGCCTGGCCTCATTTGCTCATTACTGTAAGCAGAAGTGGGAGCCACTGGGCAGAGATAACAGGCGCTCAGGACAGGCGGTAATTGAACAAATTCTTGGGCACAACCAGCCATTGTTGCAGGTAAACAGGAGCCAGTGATTGACCTAAGCAAGGGAGGCCCAGGCCAGGGGAAAGAAGGGGTGTGTGGAGACAGGAGCTCACTCTGTCCCAGGCCTCTCCTCGCAGACAGACACCCCCATCACTGGGTCAGCCAGCCATCCTCTTGATTCCCCCCCATACACCCCTTTGCCTTCTCCCCCTAGAACTGGCCTCCACCAGCGCCCCCTGCAGGGTCCAAGACACTGGGGAACAGTGGGGCAGGAGCAAAATGTTCCAGGAGTTTGAATGGCAAAGAGTTTCTCCTAAGGTCTAGTCTTCAGAAGGTTCCCCCCACTCCACCTCCCCTTCTGCACCCCTTCAAACCATCTAGCTCCCTTCTCATAAAACTCCTGCGAGAGTGAGTGAAGCAGGTTCGGGTCTTCTACACAAAGCAAGAAGCTCATTGACCAAAGTCAGGGGCGGAGGGAGGGAGGAAGGGAGGGAAGGAGGCAGAGAGACTCAGTGATGCTTTGCCATTGGTCTGGAATGGAAATGGAGGGCGTCAGCAAGAGCCACATACTAGTTAGGAGTTCAGAGAAGTCACCCCGTGGGGTCACTCCAGCCCTGACTCACTCACTTGGGGTTAGGGGAGGCAGCCGGCCCCACCCCACACTGCGAGGCACCAAGATTAGTACTTTAGAAGGCAGAGGTGCTAGCTGGCTTTGCCCTCACCCATACTGCGGGGAGGGTGGGAGGGTGGGTGGGTGGGTGCTGGGAGGGGGAGGAGGCAGCTCACCCCCCCCCCACCTGGGAATCTTTCTTCCTTCTTCTGCAACACACCTCCCCCCCAACTCAAGTGAAAAAGTTTCAGAGCATGGCAGCCTTCTTATTCAACTGTCCCCTCAGGGGCCATGGGGGTGGGGGGAATCAGGATCATCTCCCTCTCCGCAGCTTTCTCTCTCTCTCTCTCTTTCTTTCTCTCTAAGGAACCCCCCCTGCCCCCCCCAAAGGCCACTCACTGTTTTGGAGTCGAGCTCGTGCCGCGATTGCGCCAGTACTTTATCCACCCCCGCCTGGTCCATGAAAGTGACGAAGCCGAAACCCCTGCGCCCGCGTTAGGGAGAGAGAGGCAGATGGTTGCGAGTGGCGGTGGTGGAGGGGGGGGCCGAGGCGGGCGAGGCGGGAGGGCGCAGGAGCAGGGGGTGAAGGGCTCACCTGGATCTCTTGGTCAGGGGGTCCCGCATCACCAGACACTCCTTCACCTCCCCGAACTGGCCGAAGTATTCGCGCAGCCCTTCTGTAAACCACACACCCCGCCTTCGGACCGGCCCCGGCCCCTGCGCCCTCCTTCCCCTGCCCCCCCCTTGTCCTTTGCCCCCGGTGACCCCGGCGCGGCCCGGCCGCCCCCGCGCCAAGCTGCCCGCGCGCTCCACACTGCCCCCTCCGCCGCCACCCTGCACGCGCTGGGCTCCCCGGGAGCCTCCCCGAGCCCACCGGGCCCCCCCCCCCGGGAGACCAAGGGCCCGAATGGGGCTGGAGGGTGTAAAGGGGGTGGGGGGGACACCGCTCCGGCCGGGTTCCCGCCGCCCCGGGAGCCGCCTTACAAAAGTTTGAGCCGCAGGTGCGAGCGGAGTTGGCGCTCCCGCCGGCGGGTCCCGGGGGCCAAGCCCACCCCCACGACGCCCCCCCCCGAACCCCTTCCTGCTGCTCCCCTCCGCCCGCTGGGCCGTGCGCGCTCTGCGATCTCCCTGCGCCCCCGGGGTCCCCCGGGCGGGGCGCAGAAGAGGGCACGAGGGCGCCCGGGGTCAGCGGGGGCGGAGGGCCGGGCCGGGGTGCCCGGGGCCCGGGCTCAGGCTTGGGGGTGGGGTGGGGGGGCTCCGGGGCGCCCGGCGGGGCCGGCAGGCGCTCCCGGGCTGGCTCACCCTGCGTGGTCTGCCAACTGAGTCCCCCGATGAACATCTTGCTGCGGGGAGAGGAGAGACACAAAGGGCCCGCGTGAGCGCCGGGCGCCCGGGCGCAGGGGGGCGCGGGCCCGGGCCCCGGGGAGGCCCGGCCCGACCCGGATCGGCCATGTTGGCGGGGCTGGGGCGGGCGCGGGCCGGGCAGGCCGGGCCGGGCCGGGCCGGGCAGTACCAGGGGTCGTGCGGCGAGTCCGGGGAGGCGAGGCCGGGCTGGGGCGCGTCAGTCTCCATCGGGAGCCGCGGGCGGCGCGGGCAGCGGAGCGGCGGCGGCGGCGGCGGCGGCGGCGCTCGGCGCGGGGCAGATGAGGAGCGCGGCGAAGGGGGCCGGACGGACAGGCCATGCTGCCCCCTCCCCCGACCCCGCTCGGGCGGGCGGGCGGGCGGGGACGGCCGAGGGGAGGGCCCGCCGGGGGCCGACCTGCCGGCTCCTCCCCCCGCCGCCCTGCGCGCATAAAGCCCCGCGCTCACCCGCGCGCCCGGGCGCCCGCGGAGGCGGCAGCGCCGGGACCCCCCTCCCGCCGTGATCGCGGGTCCCTCCCCCCTCGAGACCCCCCCCCGGTGCGGGCCGGGGCCGGGGCGCGGCCGCGCGCCCCCACCCACACCGGCGCGGGGGCCGGGCCGCGGGAACGCCCTCCCGGGATGAAGCGCTGCCCCGTGCCTTCAAGGTAGCTCGGTTCCGGGGATCGGGACCCCCCCACCCCCCCTAGCCCTCTCTCTCTCTCAGGTCCCCACTAGCCAGCATTGACGGGACCCCCCCACAATCTGCTTGGGGTCAGGTTGGAGGTCGCCCCGGTGCGCCCCAACCCCCACCCATTCCAACTGGTGACAGTCCCGCCTCCCTCCCCCCTGTCAGAACCCGAGGCCGCCCTGGGAGCACCCCCCCGCCCCCAGTTTTCTTCTGAGCCTGATTTAGGGTCCCTCTCGGGCGGCTCTGGTATCCGGTTTGGGGGAACCCTCTCAGCGCCTCGCGTCCGACAGCGGCAGCACCCCGGTAGGAGTCGCTTAGTCCCCCCATGCCTCTGCTGGCCTCCGAACTCCCCCACAACCTCTCTTTCCACACTCGTGGTCCCTCTACAGTCCATTGAGAAAAAGACCCCCCCCCCTGTCCCGAGCCTTGGTCTCCACTTTGGGGGGGGCGTCCCCAACTCCGTGTGTGCAGCTCCGCCTGCTTCGCGCTGCCTGCCCCATTCCGACTCCGGGTCCCAGGCACCGCCGCCCGCTCCCCACCCCGGCCGAGGTAGCTGGGGAGGAAGGCGGGGCGCTGCAGACCCTCCTCCCCGCTTCCAGCTGAGGAGCCCGGTGTCCCCCCCCCCCACTGGGACCCTTCCCCTCCGGATCACCGCACCCCGCCCCACCCCCCACTTTGGCAGAGTTCTAGCTCGGTGGAAACGCGTTGGGAGAAGCCGAGCTCCCTCCCCACTGCGTGCTCAGTTACGTCCCCCGGTCGAGCTCATGCTGAGACCACTTCCCCAAGAAGACAAACTTCTCTCTTCATCTCTCCCAGCGCCCCGCCCCACCCCCTAACTTCTGGGTTCACTGAGATCCTTACCCAAGCCATCTCCCCTAACACCTCAAACCCGCTCAGGTCAGCCAGGAAAGACGACTCTGAGAAAGGATGTTCAAAGGGGCGGAGGCCACCTTGCCTATCTCGGTGTCCGAGCCTAAAGACCTCAAAGATCTCTGGTTGAAGAGAGGGTGAAAGCTGGGGTCTGAGACAGCTACTACTGACCCCCTACCCCTATGCCTGCTGGGGGAGGGGGCTGGTGTCAGTGCCACCCCGCCCCTCCCTCGCCTCCCACTCCTTCCCTCAGCCCAGCCAGATAACCCAGAGACGCGACGCACCTTCACACCTGTCCTGTGCTCAGCCACCTTCGATGACCGTGCGGCTCCAGCTCTGGAGACTCCCGCCCTCCGCCTGGTAGCACACTTCCCATCCCTCCCCACTCCCAGACCCCCAACCAGCACACGTAGGAGAACGTGAGAGACTCTCCATAATGGTCTCCTTGGGGACCTGGCGGAGATGCTCAGCAGGCTCATCCTGCCGCCCTCTGAGCACAACACACAACCAACTAGCTTTCTCTTGTTTGTGTCCTCCTACTCTACCCCACACTTTCTCAGCATCCCAGGGGTGGGGGCGGGGAGCATCCCACCCAGGGCATTCCCTCCCAGATGTGTGTGTGTGTGAGAGAGAGAGAGATGTGTGTCCTGGGAGAGACACAGATGAAGGTTAGCAAGGTGGTAATCCCCAACTGTGAGAGATTCCCACGACGCTGGGTTGAAACTAGGTTCCTTGTGTTCATGGAGAGTCACCACTGGGAGAGTGAAATTCCAAGTGTCCAGAATCACTCATGTGTGTTGGTGCCGTTAGCAGGTGGTTTGACTGGGAACCGGTGAGGGTCATCCGATCGGAGGTAGCGGAGATTGTGTCAGAAGTGGCTTGAGCTAGGCTCCATTTATTGGCATCTACTTCCTTTTTGCCAATGCCTGATTTGTAGCCCAGTGACTCAGGGAAAGACTTCAGGGAAGTTCCTTCCTCAGGCAGGTGCACCTAGCTCAAACTGAGGCTTCATTTTGATTTGTTCAACAAAGTGGGCAGCAAGTCCTTCTAGATAGGGGTAGCCCTCACAGGACAAGGCAGTTGTAAATGCATTATCCTCATAGCGAACTGAGACTCTCATGCGTATTCAGGAAAACGGATCATTTTCCTCAGATATTGGAGATGCATTCCAGCTCTTTCTCTCGTGGACTACATACACAGCACATTGTGTGAGGAACAAAACTTTGTAACTTAAAAAAAAATCATCTTGAGAAAGACCATGGACAAATGACATTAGCCCAACCAACCAAGATGATAAGAATCATCACACATATTTATGAAACGCCTTCTCCATTGTACACACTGTCCTAGGTGCTTTATTTTCAGCATTTATCATCACACAGCTTTCTTTCTAGGGACAAAAGTCAGAGAAGTAAATACAAAGCAGTTCAGAAGGAGAGGGAATAGGGCAATGGGGGTGGGGGAGGTGGGAAGGGCAGGAGGCTCAGGGGAAGGGCGATATATGCAATTTTAGGTCAGGAAATTGCTCATACGGAATATAATTATTAGCAAAGACTTGAAGGGGAGGACGTATGTATATATGCGGTTCTGCTGAATTATCCATTCAGCAAACTCCTGCCATCTCTTGAATGCAAACACTGCTAGTTGAATTTGACTTTCACTACACTAAAGCTGGTTCTCAAATTTTGGTGTGCCTAAATATGCAAATGGGCTCCCAACACCACATTTTGTAAACAAACTCCCCTCTATCAGTTGATACTCCTGACTGGGGTTTTCTTTGGATTACTCTTAGAGAAACACTGCTTGAAAAGTTACTAGTGACTTTGAGAACAAACAAACAAACAAAAAAAAAACCCTGAAGATCAAATTAGGGTATGTGTGGCTTTAGTGTTGGAAGTATTTCACTCTATTCTCGTTCTTTGAAAATACAATATAAGGCAAAGCCCTGGATTACCCAGAACGTCTCAATTCTTACCTGTACAGGAGCAAGAAAAATTGATTATAAGCTGCTTGGGACTTTCCATTAATAATCATCCCATTTTAGAAACTTCTCCTCACTTAAAAATCATATTTAGAGGAAGTGGTGCTGTAGCTCAAGTGGTAGAGCACTCGCCTTGAGCTGAAGAGCTGAGGGACAGCGCCCAGGCCCAGAGTTCAAACCCCACGACCAACAAAAAAAAAAAAAATCATATTTAGAATAGTTTTAGGTTCACAATGAAATTGGTCAGAAGGTCCAGAGATTTCCTGATTACCTCTAGCAACCACACACAAATAGTTTCCCTGTATTATTGTCACTTGACCATACTTTACATTAGGGTTCACTGTTGGCGGTGTACATTCCATGGGACCAGAAAAACATATCGTGACACGTGTCCACCATTATAGTGACATACACATGATTTCACTGCCCTAGGAATTCTCTGTTCAACCATTCTTTACCTGCCCTACTCTAGCCCTCAGCAACCTTCAGGTCTTCTTGCTGTCTCTATAGTTGTTTTTTTGTTTTTGTTTTTCCATTCCATGCAGTTGGAAGCATGGACTTTTTCAAATGGGCTTCCTCACCCAGTAATATGCATTTACGATCTCTCCATGGTTTCTCAGGGCTTGACAGCTCACCTCTTTTTAGTGCTGAATAGTATTCCATTGGCTGGATGCTTTCCAGTTTATCCATTCACCTTCTGAAGGACATCTTGGTTGCTTTCAAGTTTTGGCTATTATGAATAAAGCCAAACAGCCATGTGCAGCTTTTTTATATGGGAATAAATTTTTAATCTTTTAGTTTTTTTTTTTTTTTTGCCCTAGTTTCTCTCTTTACTTTCTCTTTCTCTCAAATTTCTGGGCACCACCAGGAAATAATCAGATGAAATGATGGGAGCATTTGACTGAGAATCTGGGAACTGTCAGATTAGTTCTTGGGTCCATGCCTGTTGCTTTTGGTTGGGGGTGGGTCTGGGGATTTCCCTTCAGCTTGCTTGATTGCTTCTGTGTGTGTGTGTGTGTGTGTGTGTGTGTGTGTGTGTGTGTGTGTGTGTGTGTGCCAGTACTGGAACTTAAACTCACTGAACTTTATTGGTCAAAGCTAGAGCTCTGCCATTTGAGCCACAGCTGCACTTCTGATTTGTTTACTTTCTTTCTTTCTTTTTTTTATTTTTGAGATTGATTGGAGATAAGAGTCTTAAGGACTTTCCTGCGTGGGCTGTCTTCAAACTGTGATCCCTAGATCTCAGCCTCTTAAGTAGCTAGGATTACAGGCATGACCCACTAGTGCCTGGCTGGCCCTTCAGCTTTCTGGGAATGTGGCTTAATGGTAGAGTGTTTGCCTTGTATGCATGAAGCCCTGGATTCAAGTCCTCAGTATCACATGAAACAGAAAAAGTTGGAAGTAGTGCTGTGGCTCAAGTGGTAGAGCACTAGCTCTTGAGCAAAAGAGCTCTGGGAGAATGCCTAGGTCCTGAATTCAAGCACGAAGAGGCTCAAGGACATTGCCCAGGCCCTGAGTTCAAGCCCCAGGACAGGCAAAAAAAAAAAGAAAGGAAGAAAGGAAGAAAGGAAGGAAGGAAGGAAGGAAGGAAGAAAGAAAGAAAGAAAGAAAGAAAGAAATTGTGTATAGGTATCCATCTTAAAAGCTCTGAATCATACAACTAAAATTCCAAAACTCACCAGATACTGGTGGCTCATGCCTGTAATTGAGGCTGAGATCTGAGGATAGTGGTTCAAAGCCAGCTCAGGCAGGAAAGTCTGTGAGA